ATTAAGATTTTTTACAGAAATATTTTTTAAAACTGACAAAATAAGCAGTAAGTAGAACTTCAATTATGAGAGAAAATTTTATCACAAAACATTGTTGAAAGGATACCTTGAAATAAAAATAATCCTAAGTGTTCAAATGTAGTAACAATTTCCTCTTCATCAAGACACTTGCTTACTGTTTTACCAACAGTAAGAAGTATTAAATCGCTGATACAAATACTTACTGTATTTCTCATTTTATAAATGTCTACACTTTATTTCTAAGAAAATCAATTCTATCACTATTGAGTATTTACATTTAAATACCCAAACTAATCTGTTGTGGGTATTAAGCAGGCATAAACTCCTCAAAGATAACACTCTTTTTTTTTTTTTTTTTTTTGTCTTTTTTCCTTTTTTTTTTTTTTTTTTTAATGGGTACTGGGGATCGAACTCACGACTGCCTGCTTGCAAGGCAGGCGCTTATGCCACTGAGCTAATCCCCAACCCCCTAAAGATAACACTCTTATGATTCTATAAAGGATGAAGATAACTACTAAAAATAAGCCCATAATATAATACGTAACTATTTACTTTTAACAGTTAGTATATTAAAATATGTTTTGTAATTGGAGCAAAAAAATGTGACTTTTCACATCTTCCTTAGAATTTCCACTTTCACTAATTATACGTCTAAGGTTAATTGTCCAATATATTTCCTGAATGTTCAGCACTACTGTTTCTTCTAAAGTAACAGGAATTGGGGCTGGAGAGTTAGCTCAGCGGCATAAGCGCCTGCCTTGCAAGCGTGTAGTCCTGAGTTCAATCCCCCATACCAAAAAAAAAAAAAAAAAGTAACAGAAATAACAAAGAAGGCTCATAACCACCACTTGATAAAAAATAAAGTCAATGTGACCTGAGCATTGTATTGTTTGCACATTATATGTGAATTCTATCATTTTTATCTTCACAATGGTCTGAAGAAGTAGATATGGTCAAACAGATGGAAAATGATGCAAATAATTTAAGTATCTGCACGAGTTCACCCAGTTTATGGTGGTCTGAGGCATATTTGCACACATATGCGTCTGGTTTCAAAGCCTTTGATCCTTACATATGAGGTCTGTTTCTGTCTCGTATTTAAAATAGATAAAGTTATACGAAGGAATAAAGTAAAACAAATGAGTATTTTAAAAGCTGTTATACAATAAATCTCAAATGTATTCTTTCCATTTGCACCCTGTTGAAATAAATGTACTTAGATATGTGACTCAAAATATTTAGTAATGCTAGTTTAACATTTGTTAACTAATTCTACATGGAGTAACAAAATTTAAAGCATGTGAGCATTGGAGAGCACAATTTCAATTCACAAATAAGATCCAAAGGCAGCAATCCAAAAAAGGCAAAGGTTGTAATTTTGATAGCATACAAATGTATTGTAGAAACACTCAGTTAATGTTAACACAATGAACTACTTTGTTATAAATATTTTTTTCCTGAAATTTTCCTTTAGGGACAACCAGCTCTGTTGTTCCAACACTGCCACCCACATCCATATGTATCATGTTCCCTGCCAATGTTTTTCAGTCAATTTTTTCTTTGTTTCGTTGTTTTGCTTTGGGCTACCATGCAGACCTTACACAGCTGATATATATTCACACACACACACGATATAAAAGGCACATATGACATCACTTCAGAAAAATAATTTTAATATAGGTGTTATTGGAGGATGTTTGTCATATTTCAGGATATTTGAATCTATTGCTATTTAATTAGTAGTATGGAATAGGACCTTCTAGAATCCAGATAATTAAATACAAGAAACATATTTTTAAAATATGCCAACTTACAACTTCCTTTTGAAGAAAATCATTTATTTCATTGGAAAAAAATTATCTCTTCTTGGAACAACCCTTTAACTCTGGTTTTAGCACATTGTTTTGGCAGTTTATTAAAACTTCAAGTGGGAGTTACACAGATTAGTCTAAATGTCTTATTTTCTTTAACACTAGATTTTTGTTAAAACAGAGCAGATCATTAAATTCATTTATCATTTGACTATGAGGCTTCTGCAAGCCAAAAATAGTCAGCCCTTGTGGCATATATAGTAAGTGAGAGCAACAGTAAAATACATTTTAAGGGCTTATCAAGGTGGGAGTGAATTTCAATGACACTTCTTCCTTATGAGGAACTGTGCCAAGTGGGAGCAGTTGAACAGTTTGATAAGGATCCCTTACCCGACCAGCTTTTCTTCATTCTGAAGACAATCACTGTCCCTAAACTCATTCCCCTGTCATGGAGTTTCTCTGAATGACACCGGTTTGTTTTTACAACTGACTTGTGGCCAAGGGAATACATTCCACTACTGTTCATAAAACAAGATAGGACTGCTACACTGTATTACTGTGCTTCTGTGGTACACTTGATTGCATCTCCCAATGTCATATGTTCATACGCTTTTTGAAAAAATTATGAGGAATAGAAGCTGAATAAAACAAATTTGGTTTTAAAAAAAATTAAGCATAATAAAATGACCAAAATAAAAAGGTCTTCTTAACAATTTTCCTCAATTCAGATGTCTATGTTCTTTGTGACACAGAGCTTCCTTTATTATTAGAATAACTCAATCACAATTCTTAAAATGTAGGATCTTTATTTTTATAATAATTAATTCTAAATTAAATTGCTCATTTTGAATTTAAGTAACACTATAATTATTGCAAAAACACTATGTTTATAGTAGACTAAAATGAAAATGCTAGAATTAGTATGAAAATATTATATTCAGTCAAAAGATAATAAGGCATATGTAGTAATGAATATTTTACAATAGGTCAAAAAGAGATAAATAGTAGGATCTTTGCATCATTGTAAGAGACATGGTGGTTTAAAGATTCCAAACTTGAAACCACCTGAAGTCAGTCCCTAAATAAGGATCGTGTCATAGTCTTTTATTTGTAGTGGTAATTTAGTTTCATTACAGACCTTCATCATATTCAGTTAATTGTGATTAATTTGAATGTTACTGGATCAGAATTCCTTTTTGTATATAATATGTAAATGTAAATGTGGTTTTTTTCTTAGTTAAGTATCAATATATGAAAGTCACTATATTATTGTATTTATTTATATACAAAATTAGCTAACATAATAAGAATAATTTACTAATAACCAAACAAAGTATTTTCCTTTAAGAGGTTTTGGTATTCTAAAAAATATTAAGAAGTCATTCTCCATAATATATTTGCCAAGAAGTCATTTAATAGGCTGCCACTTTTTGGCAGCAATAAATGTTTTAATACTGTCGATGTCCGCTCCCGGCCGGCAGGAAAGACACACGACAAGGTCTGGCGGTGGTCAGGCTTTTCTTTATTCTCTCCTTATACAGTCTGCCCCGAAGCCTCTACCGGTCCGCTCTCCGCGGCTCCTTCCGTGCTTCAGTCTCTCTCGGGGGTGGAGGCACTGGCTATATATAGGATTAATAGCTAGGCAGACTACCCTGTGAGGCGGGAACTTAGTGGGGTGATAAGAAACAGGTGCCACACAGGCGGGCTCGATGAGAGGGGTAATCTAGCCCAGGCTTTTGTACTTTCCCACAGGCCTCGCAATCACCGCGTCTGATGACTTGACAGTGCCACGGCTCCCAACATCTCCCCCTATTTTATTTTAAATGATGGCTACGCGCATCGCAGCCCGTCCTGGATAGAGTGCAGAGGCCTATGCCCCGAACTGAGGCCCACCGTAGGCCCTTAGCGTAGACCCTGGTCGGCCGTCCCAGGGTCCACCAAGGCCCTGAGGCCCTCGTCCTTTTTTCTAGGGCCAGGAATGAACCGGACGGAACCTGGTTGCACATAGGCATGCACTCATTTCTCTCCACGAATCCCCTCGGAGAGAAATTTATCTAACAATCCAGCGGCTTTCGAGCGGAACGGGGTAGGGCCTGGCTTAGGTTGAGTCGTGCTGGGGAGGCACGCTCTTACCCGTCATTGACTCACCCACCCTGCTACATGTTGTTGTCTAGGGAGGAGAATGTGGGAAGCCTGTCACTTTTAAACGCGGTCGTAGGCCATGCGAGCGAGCCATGCGTATACAAGGGTAGCACATAGGGGAGCAAGCCGTTCCAGGCCCCCAAAAAGGGACTGTCCTGCAGTTCTTTTAGGGCTCATCTTGTTGTTGGGTCTGCGGTTGGCCTCTGGTGGAACAGGCCTGATCTTCAGTCGAGGGACTTGTCGCGTCAACCTCTCTGGGACCCACATTGGCTCTCGTCCCGATTCCTGCGGAAAGACACAAACCGCGCCTCGGCTTCCTCTTTTGTATCTCTGCCCTCCTTGACGGACCCTTCTGGGTCGCTTCCTCACTGTGCCTGTTCAAACACCTCGCGTACTTCTACAAGTTCTTGAGAGCTCCCCCCGTAACTACCCTCACTCTTTAGGCACGTGTGTATCATTTCCCACAATGGACGAGCAGAGACTGAAGCTCTACCCTCCCGCTCTGCTAGGGAAAGGTCTCTGCCCAACTTTTCCCAGGAGGGCAGGTTTACATGCCCTGTAGGCAGAAACCAGGGAGCAAAGCTGTCAATCTCTGCAAGGAAATTTTCTAAAGTCTTACGCCCCACCTTGAGGTCCTTGGACTTTAGGAGTCTCCGAAGGACCAACACCAAGGCTGTGTATCTTTACTTGGCATGTTTCCCATTTTTAATATATCTTCTGTTATTTTTACTTCTATGTTTATGTTTTACACTCTTTTATTACCTTAAGTTCTGGTGTTATGTTTCATACTCACCGCGTGAGGCCCAAGAAACCCGCCACTTACGCGTGAGGTTGAGAGGAGTCTACAAACCCTGTAGGTGCGCGCCACCCAGGGCCCAGGCTTATCCTCTACTCACCTGTCCTGCAGCTGCAGCACTGTGTAGGAGAATGCAGTCCACCGCCGCGTCTCGGGGTTGATCAATCCCCGTGCGGGCCTCCAAATGTCGATGTCGCTCCCGGCCGGCAGGAAAGACACACGACAAGGTCTGGCGGTGGTCAGGCTTTTCTTTATTCTCTCCTTATACAGTCTGCCCCGAAGCCTCTACCGGTCCGCTCTCCGCGGCTCCTTCCGTGCTTCAGTCTGCCCCGAAGCCTCTACCGGTCCGCTCCCCGCGGCTCCTTTTGTGCTTCAGTCTCTCTCTCTCTCGGGGGTGGAGGCACTGGCTATATATAGGATTAATAGCTAGGCAGACTACCCTGTGAGGCGGGAACTTAGTGGGGTGATAAGAAACAGGTGCCACACAGGCGGGCTCGATGAGAGGGGTAATCTAGCCCAGGCTTTTGTACTTTCCCACAGGCCTCGCAATCACCGCGTCTGATGACTTGACAGTGCCACGGCTCCCAACATAATACAAAGCTTCAACTTGACACAGTTTTCTAAACAATTCACAGTCTTCAGACACCTAGGTTTTGTATCCTTCTCTTCCATTTCCTAGAATGTAATTCTTCCCATCCATTCCTTCAGCCCTAAGTTCACTACACAAATGTTTACCTTCCTTTTAACAGCTAAGTAAGTATTTCCTGTGTAAACTCTTTTGAAGAAGGTATTTTGGAAAATCAACTTTTATGTACATTGGGTACAAAATACATCTAGATTATATCTCAGTATAATCTTCCACAATTCTTTAGCCAAGATTACCACTAAAAAAGTTGATATTAAATACTGATGATGTTATGGTATATTTCTAGGAATAGTTTATAAGTCAAATTCCTCCAGAGAAGCAGAAGTAATTGGGAGACAGCTCTGTCTATGCATCCAGAGAATTTTTAGAAGGAATTGATACAAAACTAATCAATACATCTCTATGTATAATTCTAAATATGTTTAAACAAATGTTTGCAACGTGATACAATGGTCATTTCATTTTCTCCATTGTTAGTTTTTCTTTTTAAAAGTATCAAATATGAAAAATCATTTAAATTCTTTTCCCCTATTTATACCCTGACTGTGCTTATGTCTTTAATGAGGCCACACTCCACATTCTTTGAACTATTGTGCTGTGCGTGCAGTCTACAACATCACCTCATCCTTGGGGTTGTGGGTTCCCTAACTTTTCAAGTTTTTATTATGAAATTGAGAAGTACATGTCAAATTTAGTCTTTCTTCTTGAGATTCCGTAAATGAAATAGTAATAAGAATCCCTGTTTTCTAAGAAAAACCCAAAGGAAGAGACAGAAATGGAATTTTTAAAAGAGTAACTTTTAAAAGAGTAACTCACAACCGCCTGCTTGTAAGGCAGGTGCTTATGCCGCTGAGCTAAATCCCCAGCCCCTGTATATCTCTTAAATCTAAATTATATTTGATATTTTAAAGGTTTTTATGTCCAGTATATGTTGTAAACTCCCATTTAAAAAGGTGGTCAGTGAGGCAATATATGGTAATTAACTGGATCTAGCCACTATATAGTGTATACATACTTGTGAACATCATGATGTGCTAAGTGTGGTGGTAAATTAGTGTAGCCCCAGCACTTGGTAGACTGAGGCAAGAGAATGGTCTACATAGTGAGTTCGAGGCCAGCCTGAACTATATAGCAAGATCCTGTGGCAACAACAACAAATTCATGTTATATGCCAAGGAGATAAACAAGATTTTACTTATCAATTAAAAATAATTAATGATAGTAAGTGCATGACTATATAATAATTTGTTTTTGAGTTAGCTAACTTTTCATTTAACTTTTCATTATTAAATAAGTGTAAATTGACTATTAGCAAGATTTGTTTCTGAGAAATTTTGAATGTTCAGTTAAGCTAAAATCTAATAATTTTCTCCTAAGAATTTTGTTGTTTCTAAATAAAATCAAAGAACATTTAACTTTGCTTTGAAAAACACAATTGAACAGTTGTTAAAATTTATGATACAGAGGCAAATAACAAATTAGATTGTTTTCCTTTTAATAGTGCTGACTTTGCGTATGGAAATTTAACTTAATCTTATTCCATTATTTTATACAGTCACTGAAAACTATTTTAATGAGCTTCAGGAAAAGATGAAGCTAAGCACTTGCAATGTTTCTTAAATGTTCTTCCTTTTGCAACTTACCCACTTATTTTCAAATACTTTTACTGACTATTAAGAAACTTACTAGCATTTTCCTTTTGTCACTGTTAAAAATAATCCAAAACAAAGAACTATTTCATTCTCTTCTATCACGTCATGTCTTCTGTACTCTTTTCTCTTCTTCCTTTTCAATTTTAAGCAAGTTTTTTTAAACATTATTCTCACATATTATCAACTCACTCATTATAATCCTTTTGTAATTTCCAGGTAAGGGCTGCTCCCGCCACACAACACTGATCATGTACAATCCAGTGCCTGAGGCAACACTTTCAGTGAAACACAACTTTGAATGATTTTGAGTATAATCTGAGAAAAGGTCAGTTCACTGTTTCACATCAGAAATATTTGCACTGGTGACACATATTTATTCCTGAATTCCACTAGAATGATATTCTTTTCTGCTCATTGATTTGACTTTGAAAATAAATCTATAGATTTAACAACTGCATTATGTAACAAGACTCAATTATCCAAGATGGTATTGACTGATGTATTTAATAATGTAATAAAGCTGTCAACCATGACAGAATGGGTTAGTTTGAAATTAGGGCAAAATGCCATTTCTTCCACAAAGTTAGCTAATAAAAAATATTGCTCACCATGTGATGAGACCTGTCAAGTGAATTTGTGGTATGCAAAATTCCGAAATTCTCAAGTGTTTCTGCAGAGTTTGTCAGCACACACTTTATAGTGTGCTCTTGTTTGTGAAAGGACAACAAATTGAGTAGGATAAGTGAGCTGATCAGCAGTCCACATTATAATTGATTAACTGGAAATACTCTATGTTCTGTATGCATCTTTTATCTAAAAGCTGCCTCTTTGGAGAGTTCTATGTTTCACATTCAATTTTTACACTTGCTTGCAAGTTTCTCTAGTCCACAATTCAAAGAGATTCTGTTGAAGGAGAAATTAGAGGCTGTGATTCAGAATTCAGCCAGTCTAGTCCCTGTGGAAACTTGGCAAAGAACAGAATTAGTTCTTGGGATGCCAAATTTAGTGGCTCCAGGCCAGATGCTAATTTTGAATGCATGGCACACATCACTTTGTGTCTCGATTAAGCCATGTCTGTGAGTCCCATGCAAGCCCAGCAACAGATTTTATGCAATTCATGTATTAGTGTTCAGGGCATTTCTGATTTAATTCTGGCTTTAGAAAAAAGAAATTACTTCTTTTACATTATAACTTTCACTTCTTTGTGAAGAAATGAATACAAAAGGATAATTGACTTTTGTTACCCGTGATTATTGGAAATACGTTTTTATTTTCTTGCCCAGGATTTTTCTTAGTTTTTCTATAAATGAAGTTATATCAAGGTGTGCTCAGAAAGAAAAGAAAACTACACTTATCTAAATATAGAAATAAGGTAAGAGAGAGTAAAGGAAGGCTGTGTTTTTTCTCTTGTCTTGATCCTTTAGTATGTACTTAATACAATGTATCCATGAAATTTGCCTTGTCTTGTAAATGAATTCAGAAGTCTTTGAGAGGAGAATAATAAAAATTTCTGAGCAAAGAAAATTAAATACCAGTATATAAAACCAATTTAAAGGCTTTATTGAATTATATGTATCTTCATCTTGCTTTTGTTATTATTTTGTTTTCTAATCTGAATACCTTACCAGAATATTTACTTCTTTTTTTGGCTTTAGCAAGTTAAATCTTTCAGCAACATCGGTACCTGAAGTAACATGGTGTTTACTATAGGAATAGTTTTGTTATTACTCTTTTTTTGAAAGTCATTTACAAGTACTTATGCATTTTTAAGTTTAAAAAAACTTAATGTTTAACAAAGAATTGCAAAATGGAAACTGAACGGTCGAACAGTGCTATGCTGTCTTAATATAATGTCTTAATATAATGTAGGTCTTAAGCATGAACTGCACCAAATTACTAGATATTCAGTACAGATTTAAAAACAAAAAAACAGGATAATCAAATGCAGCTGGTGAGAGTTTTATAAGCCTATTGTCTGAGACATACATCCATGTTTCTTCTATTTCTGGTAATTATCAAAAATCTATGTACAAAAAACCCTGACATTTGTTGAGAGGAAAAACTTCCTTAGATTGATTTTGTGCATATTATTTTTCTGTAGCTTTTTCTCCTCTTACTGTGTTCCATTTTATTATTTTTTAGGAACCTGGCTATTCAGTAACCCTTGTATATTTAAAAGAGAAAGAGAGTAAAAGGCAAGGACAAAATTAGAAACTCTCTGCCAGTTGTTGGCTTTTATTCCAGCCAGTCTTCCTCTGTGTCAAAAACAATGCTGTCTATTTTTGGAATTATCAGGCAGAGAGAAAGACTGAGTGTAGCATATATGGTTATTGTAAAACGTGTTTGCATTAGCCTAAGGAAAACAGCAGTGGCAAAGGAGACTTTTGAAGCAGAGCACAGAAGTTGTTTCCACTTAACACTGGCTCCTCTGACTCTTAGTGGTCTGACCTGAATTGTGGCTACTGTGGTCATTTATAATGGAGATGAAATGGGGGAAGCCTGACATCTCTGAATTTATTTATTCCACTAGTGCAATGCTAGCCACCCCCTGTTTTTATTATACCAATTTAATGCCAGCCATTTCCTGTTTGCATTAGACCATTGTAATGCTGGCCTCCTACCGTTCTCATTAGTGCAGGACTCTGTAATGGCAGCCACCTCATGTTTTCATTATAACGGAGCTGTATGGTGCCAGCTGCCACTTGTTTAACTTTAGTGGGAAGCATTTGACCATGGACTACATACTTCTACGAGCTAGTGGCAAACAAGGTAAAAGTCTCAAGGGCCGTTGGTTAAATAGAGGGAATGCTTAACAGACATGCTGGGTAGTCTCGTGCAAGGATATACTTACTCCTAAACCCAGAGACAGGACAATAAGCCAAGTAAATCCTTGAAATAATTTTGATAATCTCTCTGAGAAGAAACTGCAACAAGATTTTGAAGTTATGTATCGTGATTGTTGGTGAATGTTTATATTACTGATAAGACTCCACTGTAGTAATAGATAAAATTCATTGAGACCTCACTAGGGATTCAATTCTTAGTAAGCACTTCATATATTATGTCATTTTTTCCTTACAATTGCCCTAGGAATGATTTTTATCATTCACATTATACAAACGTAGGAATTCAAGTACATAGTAGTTGTATTATGCAAAGTGTAGCAAATTTCCTCCACTAAGGGCTAAGTAGTATTTCAGCTTTGTGGAATATCCAGCTTTTTCCCCTAAAATCTTAACTCCTTAGCTGGAGAATAACCAAAAACTATATGTAAAAGAAATGGGATTGGCTGGCTTCCAGTATATTCTCGTTTTCAAAAGGAACCTGGGGCCTAAGTTTGGCCCCTGGGCACATTTTGTCCACTCTCTTATTGAAAAACAAAGTGGGATACAGTGGTCACCGAAGTTTAGATTCCAATTAAGGTAGTTCAGTCACAAAATTTATACATACAGTACCTTCCCTTTCTTCTTACCCTCTGTAACTGGAAACACTTCAACTCCTATTCCTCACTGTGCTATAATAAAAGATTTTAAACAGAAAAATGACAGATATATATGCTTTATTTTTCTGTGTAATTTTTATTAATTGTTTTGTCCCTAATTCTTTTATTTATGAAACACCTGAAAACTCTTCATTAATAACATAAATATAAATGAATTTATTACAGAAATTTCAAAGAATTTTTGGCTGTAGGTTAAAAACACACTTTTCAGTATGTTTTAAGCTAAGTTTTGCTCTCTGTATATAAAATTTTCATGGGATAATTTTTTTAAATCTATTACTTTGTTACTCTCAGATATCTGTATCGTTAAGTTTACTGAACAGGTAATTGACAGATGTGTATAAATTTGTTGAAATGATTAAAAGCTGTTGAGAATTGTAACCTGTCATTGTTCCCTGGGAAACACAGCCCTAGCCATCTGTTAAGGGACTTTCTAAATGATTGTAATGAGTCACCTTTAAAATGGCAGCTGTCACCCTAGGATTTGAACCATAAAACAGGAAAAAGAAAGGCACATATATAATGATGCATATATTTCAAAACAGAAGACAGCGTATATTTTCCTCTGTTCTCAAATTCCATGCTCTTGATAAAAATAGAAAGTAATGTTTTGTTATGTTAGGCTGTGATCTATAATTTTGCCCCTTGTTTAAGGTTAATGAAAACCAGGTAACAAGAATGTCATTAAAAGTTGATAAGTCATGCCGTATCTACATGTAACTTACTAGTTTTCAACATTTCTCAAAATGGCTATACCCTCACAGTGAACTTAATATGACTTAGCATCACCTGTGGAAATTACCTTTATTGAACTGTAATGATAGGGAGGGAGAGAGAGAGAGAGAGACAGAGAGAGAGAGACAGAGAGAGAGAGACAGAGAGAGACAGAGAGAGATAATTTAATTGAATTGAAATTTGCTTTATCCTAAAAGTCACATTCGTTGTTTCTAAGTGAGAATGGCTGGGTGAAGTATTTCTAATATTCTTTATCAACAGTTTCTATTTTCTTTCCTAATTTTGGTGTTCTATCTTAAATTAGGCAAGTCTATCCTAACAGTGGCTGTAAATTAAAATGCACATTCCACTATGCAAATAGACCAGTAGGAAATTAGCTGGAATGGTAGTAGCAAATCACAATTATATTTCTTTGAAATATAAGAAAACGTATACATGCTTGTTGATGTGCTGGCTAGTTACTGAGTCTCTTCATGAAATTCTCTGCTTTTCAAAGTGGTCCTGGTTGCACCACAGGGTGTAATAACTTTGATCTTTTAACACTTTTTGTTCGCATATTAGCTAAATGAAGTCTAATCTCACATGTGGATTATCTGTGGTAATTTCTATTTATATTAATTGGCCTGTCAGTGCACAGACTGTCAACTTTGCTATTGGAGCTCTTGTCACCCTTTTAACACATTACCATTATTATTTTAAAACTGGAGTCATTTCAAGTTCAAATTCATAAAATGTGCATTGGAACCGCCTACCCTGCATTACAGATGGGTAAAACAGAATGTGTCAAGAGAAATAAAACTTTTAAGGAACCATTTGCACTCACCTTCACCTCACCTCATTTAGAAAGTCAATCTGACAAATTTGGCATTTTATGTATTACTTTGAAAGAATTAAAATCAGTATTTATGGTGGGAAGATTCATAAGAGATCAATAGAGACACTGATTCTATGGTATCCGGGCTTATATATGGTCACCTAGCTTTCGTGTAAATGTCATCATTTCTTGATCTAGCATGTCCTCATCATCACCTTTCTAGTGGAGCGTCTCACAAAACTCTAGTGTCACAGTGAATACAGATTCCACATGCACAGTAAGAAAAGTGGCTTTAGAGTAGAGGCTAAATTCACCAATTAATCTCTAAGACAGTCACTTTAACAGTTCCGGAAGTAGCTTCGTTTCCCTTCGTTGGGGAATTGCTAGGGAATTCTATTGTACCTTTTCTACAATACTGGCTTTGAACACTTTCTTAGGAGTAAACAGTCACCCCAAACACCATTTCCATTCATTCTGTGGGGATTCATTCCATATATGTGTCAATGCTACTGACCACAGCCAGAGATAATACTTTAGCCCGCCTGAGGACCTTGATCTGAGAGTCCCAGAAAAATATATTCATCACAAGTTGGAAAGAAGTTATTAATGCTAAGGAATTTTTTAAAAATCCTGAGACTCGTCTTTAAATTTTTTTTAAAGTCAAGTCATTCAGGTTCAGCACCAGATATCCAAACCTCAAGATTGTTTATTTCCTGTTATTAACTACATTTGATCTAAGGTAGGGTTTATCAACCTGTGCATTAATGAACTACATCTTTGTTGTGGGTGGTTGACCTAGTTGCTCCCTACTAGATACAATAGCAAAAGCCTTCCTAACCCTATATTTTATCTGGAGCATTTCCAAATATTCCTGGAGTGTCTAAACTGCCCCTCATTGAGAACTGCAAATCTAAGGTCTTGGTTCTCTATGACTGAATACATCTGAATAACCAACAATTATAAGCTTCTCTCTATACAATCTATTGTGGACGCACTAAAATAGTCCAAGAACTGGGGCAAATGCACACAAGCAATTCTTAAGAGTAGAATTAATCTACCTAACAAAATGTACAAACCAAGAGATGCTTGGAGAATCCAGGAACATTACAACACTGCTATATTACGAGTGGAAATCATCCATATCCTTGATTTTCACCTTTGTCATGTCTTTTACCTCCTGAAGCTTTAAATATGATTACATATTTCAAAGAGAGAATTATTTCTGGGAAGTTGGAAACATACACATAAATACTCTGCTGATGACTTGAATTTAAGGATTTAAAAATTCAGCAATTTTGGCATTGCCTCTAGATAGCTGGATCTAACCCAAGAACAAGGTGCTATTAGGCAGCATCTTGTAAAGAACGGATCACCAGGCAGCAGCAAGCTGTCCTAGTGTTATTTTCCTGAATGCACAATCAGCTTGGCAAGCCTTCTACAGAACTCTCCAAGCTGAGCACTAATTCAGGTGTCTTTCTTCTTCTTTACGATAGTGATTCATGTGACATCTAATCTATGCATTTGGTACATCCTGAACTTCATCTAACTCACCTTTGCAACCGTGTTTAACTTTCTAATCAGAAAATATCTCACCTTTGTTTAAATGGCTTTGCACACATTGTGTTTCTCCTGAATGCATTTCCCGAAGAGTTCTTCTGCCAAAAACCTGTCCCACCTTAGATGTTCAGTTCAACTATCACTGTCTCTGAGAAGCTGCTATTACTGATTACCTCCCCCAGCAGCTGTAAGTATTCCCCACTCTCCCTCCCACTTCTATAATTTACATTTTGTGAGCACCTTCACTTGCCAATATATTCCAAACTATAACTGTATAGAAGCAGAATGCACATTTAATTGTTACCTGTGTGCCCCACTACATGAAAGCATATAATCCTTGGTTCACAGATTGGTTAAGTAAAATCAGTATGCTGCAGTCTTAGTAAGGAAAAGTGTTAGAGAGGTCATATCTGGCCTCTTATTTATCTCCTTTCCTCCTCTGGATTATGAACAGAGAATATGTTTTTATAGTTGTGCAAAATAAAGGAAATGATGAGTTGTATTTAATATTTGAAATTTGGAGATTATTAAGGAAGAAGTACAGGCTAAAAAAATCAAAATAATTATAAAGGAAGGCTCTTTTGGTATCTTCAACCAAATCTAAGCACTCAACATAATGAGGTCTTCAAATGAGGATTTCTTAATACACAAGAATTGGTGGTACTGTAGTAAGATGATTCACATTCTAATCATTTAGTCAAACTTTCAATCAAGTAGCAAAGTAGCCTTACAGAAATATTTTTTCTAAACCCCCTTATCTTAAACTATTTTTGCTTTGTATGCCTCCTGTTGCAAATCATGTGTTCTGTCCACTGTAAAAATTCTGGGGGCGGGGGTTCATCTAATAACTATTTATCATTTTCCTATAGGTTCATGAAATTTGTTTGCAAATATGTGACCTAATATAATCAAGTAACCTCACAAGAAATCTATAACAGGTGGGCATATAATGGTTATTTTAATACATAGATGAGAAATATAACATGATAGTTAGCTAATATCAAGATAAAGTTATGGAATGAAGGTAAAAATTAAGTAACTATATTATGATGATAAACAGTGTACAATGTTTAATTAATACTATAAACAGAGACATAATGAAATAAGACTACTAAATGAGACAAGAAATGTTCAAATTACTCTCTCAAAGTGAATTGTTAGATTGAAGACTGGCTTTAGTGATAAGAAAAATGTTAAACTATGTTTTAACACTGTTAAAGATATAGTGCAAAAAATACCTAGCAGATCAATGTAGTGACTGGCAATTATATATACCTTAATTTAGATTGCCAAAATATAAAATAGTGTTAAAGGATCATTAGTATGTATTATTGGAGCTTTTAAGAGTAAGTTTGCTTTTCTGTGAGTTGTAGCAGATAAGTACTAAACCAATTTATAATTGGTTAGATTCACACAAAAATAGTCCAACTTCACTTGTCACTAGCCACACTATAAATGACTTGGATAACAACTGCAGTCTTTTTGAGTTGATCACTGAGTCAATAATATTTCTCCAATATGCATGAGGTACGTCAGAATATATTATTCCTTCTTTAGCCATAATATTGCTTAATTTTCTTTTCTCTTTATTTTGTAATACTAGTTTTTCAAATTACAGACTCTTTTGCCTTTCATGTGTAGGTACTTTTAAATGTCTTTTCAATATTATGAGATATTTCGTGCTTGTTTTCAAGAAGTTAATTATATTACCATATGCGAACTTCATGATACAAAGAAATTCAATAAAGTCTACATGATTGCATTCAGATGAAATTATGCCAAATTCCCAAGAAAACGCTTCTGTTCCATGACATTTTTTAAGAGAGTGTACCACCAATATCCTGAAACATTTATAGACGGTATTGAAAGCATAGAGTGATCTTAGGCACACTTCTTACAATGTCTTACCATTTTCTTGGCGACCACACTCCTCCTTCTCTGCTTTTTAAATTATAATAATGAACTCTGAACAAAAGAGTGATCTACTTTAAAGGATATTATATGAATATCAACTTAAAGGGGAAATGAAGAACCTAGAGACGTATAATGTTAAATATGGGAAGATTTCAGAATTCAGAAAACCTCAAGCAAGCAATAAAATTGGGAATTTCTTCCAAGTCAGAGTATTAAGTTTCATAGCTAATTGCTCTTTTGATCAGTCCAGTGATCTGCTCAAGTTTCAGGATTTTTAATTCTGTAGTACTTTGAAAATTTGTGAAAATATTCTGTGAAATGAAGAGTTCTCTAAACCTACATCTTATAGTATCGATTTAGATTTGTGCAATTATTCTGCTAATGGTCAGAATGATCTGTAATGCAAAGGAAAGAAAGCCCAATTTCCATGTTTCCCTGAATGTCAAATACTTAGAAAAAAATTTATGATGAACTATACAAGGTGAGCAAAATGAGGACTTGGCATTTGCTTTTTTATAATCTTCAAAAAATATTATGAAATAACTAAACAGTTATATAAAACTATAAAGCTAAATTTTTAAATACAATTCAAAATCAACATTTTAATCCATTGGAATACCATAAATGTTTAATGGTATATGATAATGGAAGTAGAACACATAATAAATTGTTCCTTGAAAAGTGAAATATACTATTTTAGCTAGTAGGTGATAAGCCAGCCTGTGTGACACAAAATTTTATACAAATATGTCCAAAAGTAGCTGATGAGTTTTGAAGATTACCCATTAACAGATGAATCTATTTCTATTTCCACATTAATGCGACAATGACCTTTAAGGATTATTATTCTTTATATTCTACAAAGAGCCATCAAATAATTATATCTTGTGGGCACACAAATTTTACAAAAAGAGTTAAACATTTCATTGGCGTGGAGTAAGACTTTAGTATACATTGCATTCCCAATTTCTTCCTAAATGTGGCGTGTTCAGATGGGACTCATTAGTTAAGCTAACTTTCTCTTTAGACTGGTCAGATGCTCAGGTGACTAAAGTAACAGTTGGTCTACTAAAGAAGTAAAAGCAGTGAATTACACAGTATAATACAGTTTTTGCTATTCTTAATAGTGAAATTATTTCAATTATGCAAAATAATAGTGTTAAAAGTAAGAAAAGATCATATCACCATGTCACATATTGCTCAAGTATTCAGAGAAAAAATGTATAATTGACTAGTTCTTTTCAGTATCTTAGGATCCTTCTATAAGGAACTGGCACCTAGGTAGTGTCCAGTGAAAAAGAAAAGGCTATCAAATAAATAAACAAAAGAATGAACGGGTAAATTACTTAGTTTCTGCCAACAAATCTAACCAATTAAGATCTTAAAATGGAAATGCAGTGCACTTTGATATGTTGTGCTGTTGTAAGTAAAGTAAAATTTAAAAATTTAAATACTCAGAATATAATGCTACTTTGTTCTTTAGGAAGTGCCACTATAAATTAGGAACAAAAATATAGGATATGTGGGTTATGTGAGACAAAAGAAAAACAATCAAAATCAATTTATCAAGATGATATTTTAGAACTTACCTGTTCCTAGTCTAGCCACCATTCTTAGTTTGTTATTTACTCCTATGATATATTAGCTCAATGCAAACACAGAGCAAGAATTCAGAATATGTTTATGAGTTGGTGGGACAAAGTTATTTGAATGTATTACAACAAACATGTATTTACTTTAAATATCTGGTTTCATCTGTTATATAGTAGCATGAGAAAATATAAAGTGTCTTTTCTGAATTCCTCTAGGGCCATGTACCAAATTATTGTCCCATCAATTGTGAATTTTAAAGGCTCAAGAATTATTAGGCTCTGTCTCCCTGGTACTTATTTGACTAGCCAACTTATCCACGATATCCAACATAGTGTCAGTGACTTCTAGTGACATTTATTGTTAAGTAAAGTTTTTTTTTTTTAATCTTATTTTGCTGGCAAAGTGATATGTAGCAAAAAATAGATGTGAGGCCATATTTTGCCTTTCCAAAATAATTAAAATCAAGGTCCTGATGGTATGCAGTGTATAAAATATCACTTCTGTGTTAATGAATTCAAGGGAAAGCAACATCACTATTAGTAATAGCTTTTTATTCGGAGTCCTCATTTTCCAGATAGGTCACATTAAACACAGCCATTAAATAATAGTGTCGAGATAAATCCATAAAATGTATGCTGCTTTTGTCGTTGTGGTTGTTGTCCTTATTCAATCACTTGGTGCAGCTAAGAACCTCATGGAGTGATGGACTGATAAATGGGAATAGCTAACCTCCAAAACACCGGGGCCAGGGAAGTCAGACTTTAATCAGGTCGCATACAGTTACACTTCGGATCAGCATCTTGATAGCTGAAACTCTCATTTGAATTAATGCTCTAATAAATGCTGTCTGTTGTCAAAAGAATACAATTAGACAATAATGAGCGAGCATATATTATGCCAGAACTCAGTCTATTTATTGACTTTAGCAAGTTCTATTCCATTAGACAACAAACAGCTTTTAACCTGGTTCTATTAAAGCACTCTGCTCTGTTACTACATGACTTTTTTGGGGTCATTTCTTAAACTGAGCACTGTGTACATCCTTCAAATGGAAGTCATGTTTTACAAGATCTCAGCTAATCTTATGAAACAAAGTAAGTCAATTTCTCAACCAGGAAATCAGCGAGTTTTTGGAACAGTTGTTTTTGTTTGTTTGTTCCTTGTTTTTTATGCTGCCTACAATAAAGATAAATATGTTAGATTAAGAAATGGTGTGAAACCATCCTTTGAAATTGCATGATATGTCTCTTCCTTGTTTCCTTTGGTATAGGTGTAACTAACACTGATTCTTACTACTTTATATCTAATGAAAAATTATTTTGTTGATATTTTATTTTTAGTACATCATAAGCATTTTTTAGAACTTTGAGTTTCTTACTAAAATGTTCATAAACAGATATCTGTGCTTGACTTCAGTCATATAAGAAGACAAAGGAGTATCAAATTTTTTATTTTGAATGTGTGATTTTTTTGAGGGGTTAGCCTTTGAAAAATGTAAATTAATTTTTTTCACATTCAAAATTAAGCTGAAACTCCTCCAAATCTCACAGATTATGCATCATTCATTAGAGCAATTGCTCCCCAAAGGTGTGATTTTGGCATCTCATGGGCTTCCTGGGAAGCCAAGCACCAGAGGTTTGTGATAAAGGCAGTTGCCAGGGAAATGAATAAAAGCAAGATTCCTTCCAATATAAAAGCTTAGAGTCCTGACTGCTGAATTACCACCAACTTGCAAATAAATAATCACTACTAAATACAGATAATGTGTTAAGCAGCTAACACTAGTAAATCACTGGTGACAGGAAGCCTAAAGGTAAATCCCTCACACATTGGCACAACCAATTTATAAAATCTTATGGTGTTTTAATGTCTTCAGACACATATGAGAAATTGAACAACTGGTTACTTAGTGTTAAGAATGCTTTAAAAATAAACCTTACTCTCTTTGTTGATTTCATTTACATACTGCTTTAGATTTTACTAAATAGTTATCTGTCTAGTAAGGAGAGGCAACACTTGATAAAACTAAATGGAAATCAATTTTCTGTCAAATTTCAGCTATCCAGCGAAGTCAACCTGTAGTCTCCTGGCAAAAATAACATCATATAACAGAGACAACACATTTTGGATACATAAATTGTCCAAAATATAGAGAGTCAATTAGGTTTCACATGTACAAGATCCCTTCTTTTCTAATTTAAACATTTATGAGTAATAAAAACCAAGGGTAGAGCTTTGCAAAGGTTGTTACTAGGAACCAAATACAGTTCTCCAGAGAATAAAGCTGATGGGAATTGTCCATTCTTCCCTCCCAAAGCAATTTTGCAAAAGAGGTACAGTCTGAAATCTTGATGTGTTATGATGAAAATACTTTCAGTAGAATTTTTTTTGAGGTTTAAAATTACAAAAATTTAATTGAATTCAATGTTTGTTTTGCTTTTGCTTTCAATATAAAGATTTTACAACATTGACGCTGTTTCTCTACACTGACTTGGTGGCCAAAAAAAGAAGGCACAGTATTCTCCACCAATTTGCAAATAATGCATTTTTCTGCTCCAGTGCACAAACAGGCTGTATTTAACTCAGCACCACATTGTCTAAGGTATGGGCTCAAAACTGTTTGCCATGAAGCTGTGAAAATGCCAAAAATTTTAAATGCTGAAGGAAAATGTCAATCAAGGCATTTTCCCATCTGCTACTATTTCTGCAAGTGCTAATTTTATTTTTCCCAATTCCTGAAATTAGAGGTTTCTTAGCCTCATATGGAAGTAAGGTTGACACGTGCTAAATGTCACAAGAAAAGGTACAACCAAAGGATGGAAGAGAAGATGTATTGTTCTCAAGGGACAACACTAAAAAGAGGCAGAGGAGCACTGAGCTAACGTAAAAAGATTTTGTGAAGACTCAGACCTCTGGAAAAACACTACACAATGCAAGTAACCAGTGCTGGTACCACACATGCATTAATGCACTTTTTCATGTTTTTAAAATATAATGGAGACGCACTCTGGACCACTTATGATACTTTTGAGAATGAACTAATAAAGGGTATCTACATAGGCAGAAACTATGTTATGGAAAACATCATGAAGAAGTTTCAGGGTTTGGTACAAATGTAGTTCTTGTGATTTAGCATGACTTTAATAAAAGCTTCTCCAAGGACTTGCACAGAACCATGACTGACGGATGTATTTTTGACCTTTCAGTTAGCTCCATCAGCTCACTCAAACACATTTTGAACAGATTATGTACTGTAGTACTTGGTAGACTACACATTAAACAAGAGACTCTGCTCTGAGGCACTGCTTCCCACACTCCATGGGGAAAAGGAAGCAGGAAAAAACAAAACTCATAGAGTTCGACAGCTACCGAGGCAACACTTGCCATTTACAATAGAAGCCCAAATATTTTTGCAACACAACTATATATTAATTTAATAAAATACACAATATAGCTCTTATACACTCAACAATTTGGCTCATATGCACGGAATCTGCAATAAATCAATAAAAATATGTCATTTGATGTAAACACATTGAATTTTCTTACATTTGCACATTTAAATGGTCATGTGATTTGTGTATGTCTAAGACATTTTCACTTTCCTGAGCTATTTTAGTGTCCACAAATGAATAAGACGTATTAATCATGTTAATTTACTCTGAATATTACCACTCAAGGGTAACTGTTGTTTAGAACTTTTCAATGTCAAATCTAAAGCAAACTCATTGTATATATATCTTTGTTGGACACTAAAATGCTAAATAGGCATGTTAAATCTTTAAATTTTCTTCTCCTTTAATGAAGTGAATTAGTCTACGTGTGTGCAGGACAAAATGGACTATTTCTTTTTACATTTAACTTTTATACGACATGAGGCGTCTTACAAATGATCAAGGTTTTTTTTCTAGGTTTTTTTTTTTTAATTCTTGTGTTTGTTTTTGACTAATGATATGGAACGTTCTTTGTGTTTATATGTGCGGCAGGTAACTTTATACAGAAATGTTTACCACAAATATGTGTTAATGTTTGGTGTAGCTTGGACTACTGCAAGGTCTTTTGGGGACTTTCAGTAGAAGCCTGTGATGACTGCTAGAACTCCACCACAGATCACAGATGAGACCCTGCTTTGTATGGGGTTTATAGGTAAACAGTTAGGTCAGCATAAATCACGAAGCACAGTCTTAGAGTGATCAGAAATACTTCACTTTGCACACGGCATACCTTCCTAACAGATTGTCAAAAGGTAAGTGGCATACTCATCCTCCTGTTTCTTCTCTCTATCTTCTGTTTTCTCTTTAAACATCATTAAGTTTGTCCTGATAGAAGTTTTGTCAAAACAAAACCATTCTTATCTCTGAAAAAAGAAATAGCTGTGAAAAGAACATACTTGTGGGCACTTTAGATGTTCACTAAAAGCCTTAAAGCACGATTGGTCTTTCTTCCTCCCTGTGAAATAGGTTGTCCCCAAGAGTGATCATTCTTCAATCCACAGAAGAGACAAGAAAACGCCAATGCCCCCCACCCCACCCCATCTGTCTGTCTCACTTTCTCACAGCCACAGGGTCATTCCCACGGCAGTCTTGCAAAAGCTTATCGATTTCTCTCACAACTTCCTCGGCATCCACCGACTCTCTGCCCAGATCCCGCCCGGAGTGGTCAAGCTGCTCCAGGACAGCACCCATCTCGCTGGAATCCCGGCTGGCTCTGGAGTGCACATCTGCAAAGACCCTTGCCATCTGATCCGAGGGTGCGAAGGGAGGGTCTCTCTGTTGCTTACTGGGTGACAGATACTGACTGTCATTGGGCAAGTACTGACCGCTTGCCTCAGCCAGGGCTCCAGGTTTTGCTTCACAACCCTCTAGGGAGCTTTTTGTTGAGGTGCAAGGCTCGATGCAGGCCTTGGTAGGGCTGCTTGATGCGGAAGGGACCTCTTGGAGGAGAGGGCTCAGGGCACGTTTGGCTTTTAAATAAGGTTTAACATTGGCAATGAGAATAGTGTGCTCTCGCTTGTCTTTTCCAAATGTACAAAAAGTCTTTTTCCCAGTGGGATTCACAGTTTCGTAAGTCTCAGTCTCAACGTTAGCTTCAACTGTGGGTACAAAGAGATTTGTGCGATAATCTGCGTTTTCAGCCTGATTGGCTGCAGGGAACTGTGGCATCCAACACCTGTCAGAATGACCAAGCACTCGGCATTCATCTGTGCAATTAACACACTCTTCTGGTTCTGCAAAACAAAAGAGAAAACAGCACATCCAATCATTAAGGTTTCCTTTGAATTGCTACTGAAGCTGTGATCAGCTCTCAGTGGGCTTGCTTGACCTCTGGTCTCTTAATTAAAAAGGAAAAGAAAACAATAATTAAAACATTTCAGGATGGTTGCATAAACCTGCTGGCTGAGACAATGGTTTTATTTAAGTCTATTCTCTAGATATTAACGAATTCCCATAGCCTGGGAAGAAGTAAAAAGCGGCCATTGGAGGATTGTTCTCCGTAGAGCACAGCATCATCATAATCTAATCTCCTGGGGATATCAGTTAACCTTTGTTCTGTAGACCCCATCCTGGAAACAGAAACGATTACTAGGATTAAATTTTCAAATCAAATAATGACATAAACCGGATTGTAAACTTCCAGACAACTCCTAAAACACTTTTTTCAAAAAGTTTCTTATCATTATTTTACTTACAATTTTTTAGCTTGCTACAGTCATGAAATAAAATTTTCCTTTCAAAGCTTACTTTTCCTAGACAGTGGCAAATGGAGCTTTCTATCAGAATGTATTATGAATAAGTTTGTCAAAAAGTGCACATTCGTATTTCATTAGGTAACATAGGGATCATGTAAACAGTTTTCTTCACTTCAATTTTCTCTTTGTGGTTTAAGTAGGCACCAGATCAGTTTATTCAACAAGTATAGTTGAGAATGAGTGACAATTCATGGGCTCCTATTTTTATGTAATAATGCTTTTAGGGAGAATTTTTACTTTTCTCCTTTGTCACTAGACATATGGAAAACATATATAAAGCATTCTCTACTGATCCCTTTTAAAAGATGCCGGACAAGAAACTATGAAAGAAAATTCCTTCATTATGGCAATAACTATATAACTCCACTGACCCCAATATTTTTAACCATAACTTTATAATTTACAGGTTTCCTTGCCAGTACAAATAGTTGTTTCTATTATCTTAATGATCCTTTTTAAAATCAGGAACTTCTACTTTCAGAAGAGGATATTTACAATTTACCTCCATGTAATGGGACTAGAATTCCCTAAACATTTAGGAACCCTGGGGATTGCCTTTTTACTGATGTTAGATGATCCTTCCATGTTCAGTGTCCTGTATGAAGCAAAAGATCTACATAAACAATATATGAAATAAAACAGCAAATATAATGGCATTACTAAATTTGTGCAGGAAGTTTTCAAAGTCACTTGTAAACAATATGAGTTTGTAAAAAAGATTATAATGCCTCATCAAATGTCAAAATAAAAAACAAAGTTACCAGTTATTTTAGCAATACAGTAATTTCCTATGAGACTTAACTGCTTTAAAAACAAAATTATGTCTGGAAAACAAAAATAATTTGGTATCTCATAGCATGTACCATTCACCTTTGTGAAATGTTAAGCAGTAGGTAGCTTACCTCCATTTTAAGTTTGTCATTGCTAAAAAGTATTTTCCTATGAAAGAATAAAATATTCACTTTTATGTGTATTTTATAATGTAGGCAAGAATGCTGAAAACTAATTTCAAACTGAATTATACACCCATAAACTCATACTCCGTCTATGTCTGAGACAGCTGATAGAGGAACACAAATAACAAGAAATATAACACCTGGGAACCTTTCTTATATATTTAAATTAAAGCTGAGATGAAATTTTTAAAAAGAGATCATAAAAGTTATGTATCATTATCTTTTCCTACTGTGAGTAGAAATCATACATACCATCCCTTTTTATAAGTGTTAGAAACAGCATAAAAATATAAAAATAGTATGAATTTATGAAAGCAATTTTACCCTTGAAAAAGATTATAAAAGGCCCAGGATTTAGCTCAGTGGCATAAGCGCCTGCCTTGCAAACCCGTGGTCATGAGTTCAATCCCCAGTACAAAAAAAAAAAGAAAAGAAAAAGAAAAAAGAAATGGAAAAGATTATAAAAATCTTTATAATTTATTTCATCTGTTATTCCTGCTGCATCGGTTAGAGCTATAATTTTTTCTTGAATTTATTTACAATCAATATACTCTCTTTGGAATACAGTTTTACTGGACTTTCACTTCAGATCTTTAGATAGCCAGCACTGAATGAACTCATCATAAATTTAAAAAGACCAAAAAAAGGTAGACAAATGGAAATGTACAAAACTGTAAGTCAACCACAAATTTAAAATCAACAACACAAAATTATTGTTTGCATTTCACTGCGAAAATCTGCAGTTTTTCATTTGATTTCTTTATTTCATACCTAGGAAAGCAAATTTTGAGTACTGATTGTGATACATTATAAGCTGTTCAATTTGTGATTTGACTGTAATTTTGATTTAAGCAGTTCACAGTCATATAAAAAAAAGAATGAACGTTTTTGTATAAGCAACAAAATCTGAGAGCACAAAGTGAGCCGCTGTGGTCAAGGTAGTGGAATCACAACTAGGAACAAAAGAAAAGACAGATGATCAGCCTGACACAAAATGAAAGGAAGAAAGAGGCAGCGGAGAAAGAGCAGACAAGGAGAGATGGAAGGAAAAAGGAAGAAAAAAAGAGGAGAGAATAAAGAGGGAAGCTGAGAGACACGGAGAAGGAAGGGGAAGGTAGAGGGAGCAGGAGGAAATGAAGGAGGATAAACTACGAAAGATGAGTTATGCTGAGAGTTTCTACAATATGCACCTTTTATTGTATGTTTTAATCCTTTTACCACGCTGAATATGTATAATAAATTATAATAATGTGAAATCTTTTCTCAAATCCTAGAGCTCTAAAGGTAAATAATCAAATGGCTCTCCATGCCTCAGAGAAAATGAACACCAGAATAGATATGTGAAATTATAGATTATAGCAATGAAGAAAAAAGAAGTAAATTTTCTAGATCATCATTCTTTGCACAGAATTGGTATGTGTCCCAGAAAACAAATTTATAGACACTGAACAGAAGAAATAAAAACAAAAATATTTGATCCAGTATCCACTTATTTCTTCTACGCCAATCTAAGAATAGCAAAATAATTATTTACTTTAGTTTCATGCTTTCCTCAATATATAACCCATTTGCAGAGTGTACCCCACACCAAGGAAGAAGACATAATCCAAATAGTATGCAAATGAGAAAAACAAAATTAACCATGTTTATATAGCAAACGAAAAACAATTCGAAACACCAACAGACTGAACCTTGAGTGATTATTCCTATATAGAAAGTTTATAGCATCTAACCTCTGAAATGTTTGATTCCCTGAAATAGTATGTGGCAATCTAATAACATTTTCTCAAACTTAAGAATCGTTTTCTTTCACTCTGATCACCACATCTGACTACTACCCATGCTTGAATGGAAGTATCTAAATGCAAGAACCTTAGTTGGTTCAGTTTTGTGTAATTTATATTAAATTGTGTAATTTATCTAATTTCAAAGATAGAAATTGACTTAAATAACTGTAGAATCATAATTTTTGCACTCAGCTGAACTTTAACCATAACACAAACACACACAGACACACATGTATAGATCATCTGTATATATATGGTAAAACTGAACTTTTTTTGTTATATAGTCTAAATTTTTAAAGAATCTAAAATTTGTACCCAATATGCTCCTGAACATTAATTATTAGTAAGTCTCACAATAGAAATATAAATGAACCATAGGAAAGTTCTACATTCATAACATACATAAGATATGACATAAGAAAGAATTATCCCTTTTATCAAAGTAATATATATGTGTATATATGTAATATATATATATATGTGTGTGTGTGTGTATATATACATACATATATATATATATATATATATATATATTTTTTTTTTTTTTTTTTTTTTTTTTTTTGCTTTGTTGAGGCAGTGGTCTTGCTGTATAGTGTAGGCTGGTCTTGAACTCATTTTGTAACCCAGACTAGCCTCAAACTTGAAGTGATCCTCTTCCTTCAGCCTCTCAAGTGCTGGGATTACAGCCATGTGCCACCATGCCTGACTAACAAAGCAATGTATATTTGTTTACAAACAATCAACATTTTGTTGTGTTTGTTTGGTCCCAGGGATAGAACTCAGGACCTTGTGCTTGCCAGGCAGATATTGTGTCGCTGAGCTACATCTCCAGCCTTCTGAACAACATTATTATATATGTAATGTAACCTGTAGACTTTTTTAATTAAAAAAAAATCAATAAGTAGTATTTTAATCTATCCCTTTACCCTATAATCATGAGGACAAAAAACTGTGATAAGATCAATAACGTTAACTATCTCTGACTTCAGAATTTGATACAATGAAAACACCAAATTATCAGCCCTTCAATGATTGGATTTTAGCAATCTTCCACAAAAGTTAATACAATTTGATTTATTCATTATGACTTGAATTTTGTAATGTCACTATATCATTAGGAACACATGGTCATTTTGATGATGGGTGAAATGTCTTAACTATTACCATGAATACGATTGAAACTTGCAGTTGAAATGGTATTGAAATCAGCAAGGATTAACAAAAATTATGCAGGGTCGGTGGCGCATACATATTTTGGGAAATTAAGGGGAAAGCCTATGTGCTGCAGCTCTGCGGTGTCCACGACAGAGACACGTGGAAGAGCAGGTCAAAAAATGCCTTACTTGGGCTGGGGATTTAGCTCAGTGGCGTAAGCACTTGACTGGCAAGCACGAGGTCTGGAGTTCAATGCTCCTTGGTACCAAAAAAAAAAAAAAAAAAAAAAAAAAAAAAAAAAAAAAAAGCCTTATGTCAGAGTCAATCTAACTCTTTATTCTTTTCTGTCTGCTCTGGGCAGGGATTTATCAGAAATCAGAAATTTATACTTATTTTCCTGTCTTCAAAGTACTATAACAACACCCCTAAGCAGTGATACTTGGAAACTAATTTGTTACTACTTAGGGAAATGTTAGAAAACATAAAAGGATTTCCTTCCTTAATTTCAATTTTACCTGCTGCCTCAAGAGCTCACATATTTGTACATTTGCAAACATTCATACAGTTTCCAGAAAAGGAA